AGGGTTGACCCTGTAGGCAACCCCTCACTGCCTGCCTCCAGCCGTTTAGTAGAGAGAGCGTTAGCGTTGAATAAGGGCAGCACCAATGGGAGTCGAATCAATGCGGAAATCAATGGGCAAGAAAGGGACACCATTTCTCGGGTTCCGGACCGTTCACGTGGTTTCTTCTGCATCCCTGCTTCACTAACCGCCTCTTCTTGATTTCTAGCGGTCTACTTTCATCGACTCCTTTAGAAAAGCACTCACGTTATTTTTGGTTCTGGCTCGCCTTCGATTCTCGCAACAAACTCGAATCGACTGCCTTCATCCACCTAGAGAAGAAACATTCAGAATAGGCACAAATGCAAAAATATGGTGGAAAATGACTTGAATATTCGGTCTCACCTGAGCGTCCACGAGCTTTGTCAAGATTTGAGGGGCTCTGATCCTTTCAACGACTTCCTCTTCAAGGAACGACTCATAAATAGTTTCCACCTGAACTCCTGTTTCATTAATCTCATTTGTTACAGCTGGGGCGAAAAAGTGCTTTCGGATGCTAATTTGACTACATCCACTGGTCCAAAAGTAACGGTAATTAAGGCCCTAAGATGAGTAACTACAAGGCAAATATAGGGGCAAGTACAGATAAGAGGCAATGAAGATTTGTCGAGCAGTACTGATGCCATTGAATTGATACCTTTTTCTCTAGTTGAGCTACCCGTTCCTTGATCTCTCGCTGCCTTCTGATCAGCTCATCGATTCTCCTTGTGAGTTCTTCGCCTAAACTCCTTATGTTACGGGAAAATAATCTGCACTTCATGAAAAACAATGTGAACGAACTCTTAGTGGTTCTTCGTGCCTCCTCTAATTTCTGTGTCTGTTGGTCGATAGTTTGTTGTAGCTCTTTCACTCTACGATGCAGACCTTCACTCTCCTAAACGATTGTGGCATAAAAGCGGTTCTTGGTAAAGAGGAAGGGACAAGTTAAGGTCTAGACAGCGAGGGCAAAGTGGACGATCATTTGTATTTGGCTAGCTCCAAAAATCTGCAGTGTTCTGGCGGGTTATGAATCCTTTTATCTGAACTTTTTGCACTAATACTTACAGTTTTCTAAAACAGCTAGCTGCTGTTTAATTCTTTTGCGGAACTTGCTGCTGTGGACTCACTGACATATTTTCAGGAATAATTCTTTATATAGCTGCTAACTGAGGCACTGAGAAACTTCCTAATGCTTCTTCTTCTTAGCATAGTCTGCGCATCGCACAGCTCCGCTGTAGGGATTTCGCTAGGGCAACTATCCGCATTGCTTCTTAAGAAATCCTAGTGCAGCTATCGCATTCCTCCGAAACTAACCTGGAGTGTTGTGACTTTGGTGTTCTCCAGCAGCCGAATGATTTCCCAGGTTTCTTCTTGCCACATTTCTATTTCTTCTATGATCGTCACCTTCTTCTTCATTTCAGCCTGAACTCAGAAAGTCATTGCGAGACGCTAGGTACATTTACAGTGAACTCTGATCAAATGATCGGAGTCCTGAAGTCTTTATTCATTTTAAGTTTTTTTGTACGCAGGCCTTAAGTTTCCAATTAATCCGGTGCTGGAGTTGGCGCTGCAGGCAACTGATATAGGGGTATCTGCCCCCGAGAACTTCGAAGCAGTTCACAAAATTGAGAATCTCTTATTTTAATTTAGGACCCCTTAATCAAAAGGTGATGTGGTTGCAGAGCACTGCAAGTAACACATGGGTTAGAGACTAAATTAAAGGTGTCGATCACGATGACTGGAGGGCGGTGCGGTTTCGATGACGTCATTGAACGTCCCTGGTGAACTAGACCCCTCACCGTGCTATGGGATGTGATCAGCCCACCTCTTGACGCCCTTCCACGTTCATTGACGTCATCGGAACCGCCACGCCCACCAGACATTGAGATCATTGCCTCTGAGTTGTACGTTTCCTGGGGAATTCCCGCTTCGCTTCTGGGCTCATTGAAAAAACAGCGAACATTTTCTACTACTGAAATATCAATTTCAGAAGCTGTCAGTTCATGAAAGAACAGCTGAAAAGGTGATAATTGCCCTGATTTCTAGCTAAGTGGTTGTCTCTTATCAAGTATCACTTGTGATAAGGAGAAACAAGAGGACCGCTTGGGAATCTGACCAGAGCCAATTGTGCTCATTTCTACATCCTGGGCGCGGATGAACTATCCTTTCTCAAAACCCCTGTATTTTTCTCATCAAAAAATGTTCGGCTATTCTGATCAGCAGCACACACATACCTTATTAGCCTGCCATTCGGACCATTTGTGTTTCAAGTAGACGTATCGATGATCGTGGTCGACGAGGATGTTCCTGGCCGATTGGGTTGACCGTGTCACGTCCAAAGTGTCGTCGTTTCTGGCCACTGACTCAGCTGACGCTACGAACTTTTCCACTAAAGTAAAGAACATTTTTGGACAAACCCAAGACTATTTATAGTCGGAGTTGCCGAACGAACCCTCATGCCTTTCTTGAGTCATCGTCTCCTCAATCATGCGGAAGACATTCTCCACTTGGCCGGCGACCCTCTCATTGGTAAAGTCGCGGTTGGTATCCAACAACGATGTGATTCCATCGAAAGAGGCCTCCAGGTCCTTGGCAAACTTGTGCAGCTGCAATGGAATATATTTTTATAAATCCTTGGCAGTGCAACTTCCCCAAAAATGCCCGACGTTGCTATGACCCTTTTAGAAAGCTCCCTACCTGAACGAATGCTCCTCCAATTCGAATGCGATTTTCAAGCACATCTTTCAGCCGTTCGTAGTGCGTCTCAAACTCCTGCATAGCTTTCCGCTCCACGGCCGTCATCTCAGACTTTTTGCTCATAGCTGAGACCACAGAAGCGTCCCGGTTCTGCAATAATTCCGCTTTATTGTTCCGAAGAAAAGGGCTAATAGGTATCCACAAGAATGCTACGGACAAAATTCTTCGCCTCGGCAGGATTGAACCCGGACCCGTTGCTTTTCAGCCAATAATCGGCAAAAGCGATTC